TTATTGAGAAATAGCTGCAAGACAGAAATCCTTTTTGTTTTCAGTGAGAAAAAATGCAAGAGAAAGTTGAACAATTTGTCTGAATAGTCTAACAATGAGGCCGATTAACTACTGGAGCAAAATGCCATTTCTGGCTGCTTTTCTGGATGCCTCAGATCAAGACTGGGTGCCTTCCTGGAACACATTTTACTCAAATACAAGTGCTCAACACAGGTTACCTGAATGAAATTCTCTTGTCTGTGTTATACAGGAGATCAGGCTAGATGATTTAATAGTTCTTTCTGGCCTTTAAGTCTATGAACCCAGGCCTCTACCATGGAAGCACAAGTCTGTTTTGGAGATGATAAAAAATTATTTCCATCCAGCAGAAGCTCTGGAAAGGTAATAGACTCCTGAGTAGTAAGCAGCATGGGTTTATAAAGAATATATCCTAACAGATTACTTTGATTTTTTGGAGACGTGTAGTTTATAAAATTAGCCCTAGTCTACACAGGGGAGTTATTTCAAAATAACCCCCCTTATTTTGAAATAGTAAGTGGAGTGTCCACACTACCACGCCCTTTATTTAAAAATAACAGGCTGGTTATTTCAAAATCTGTACTCCTGTTTTCCTCAGGGAATAACACATTTCAAACTAGCATGAATGTGGAAACTCCGCTGTTGCTATTTCAAAATAATTACTCCCCAGAGTAATCTGAAGTAATTATGCCCCAGTGTTCCTGAGGCTCTAAATTAAGGTAGTGTCCTAATAACGGAGACTGCCTGGGACTAATTTTGAGGCTCTCCCATAGTGGGGACATGTTATTTCAATTTTGTTATTTCAGGCATTATTACTTTGAATTTATTTATTTTGAAATAATTTCCTAATGTAGACAAGCCCTTAGTGAATAAATATATTAGATATAGCCTGAGATTTTTCATAGATGCTTAAGGGATTTGGATGCCTAATTCCCACTAACCTTGGTCACCCAAATCACATACACAGTTCTGAAAAATCTCAAACTATAGTATGTATAGATTTTGGTTAAATGTTTGATTACATAAGAACATAATAATGGCCACATTGGTCAGACCAATCATCCATCTACTCCACCGTATTGTTTTTGACAGTGGCCAGTGCCAGATGCTTCCGAGAAAATGAACAAAACAAGACAATTGATGAGTGATCCATCCCCCATAATCCGTTCCCAACTTCTGCCAGTTAGAAGTTAAGGAACATCTTGAGCATGTAGTTTCATCCCTGGCCATCTTGGTTAATAAGCCACCTATGCACCTATCTTCCATGAACGTACCTATCATGTATACTCGTTCATCAGCCCATTCATTTATAAGCCAACCCACCAAGATGAATAGATAAAAATGGTAAACCACTATTCATAAGCCGAACCTATATTTCAACGGTTGGCAAACTTTGGTTCCCGGCTTGACAGGGTAAGCCACTGACAACGATGTTTTGTGTACGTGGGAGTGTCCACAGGCACAGAACCCCTCAGTTCCCAGTGGCTGTAGTTCACTGTTTTCAACCAATGGGCACTTCAGGAAGCAGCGCAGGCTCAGGGATATGCTGGCTGCCACTTCCCACCACTCCTGTTGGCTGGGAATGGCGAACAGCTGACACTGGGACCTGAGGGGCTCTGGGCATGGAGGTACTTCAAGCACACAAAATGTCCTGGCGTGCCAGTGGCTTACCTTGATGGGCTGGGAACTGAAGTCCGCCAACCTCTGATCTACAATGATAGTGTAGACCCATTGATAAACTGACCCCTGCTCTTCGATGTATCACTCTTCTTTCTCCCCTCCGCCCCCAAAAATATGCTTATGAAAGAGAATCTTTTTTAAACCCACTTGTACTTTTAGCCTTCACAACATCCCACCCGAGTTCCACAAATTTAGTGTGCACTGTGTAAAGAAAGACTTTCTTTTCTTTGTTTAAACCTGCTGCCTCTTAATTTATCTGAGTGACCCCTGGTTCATGTGACATGAGAAGGGGTAAATAACACTTCTTTGTTCATTTTTCTCCATGATGTTCATGGTTTTATAGACTTCTATCACATCCCCCATTAACTGTCTCTTTTCTAAGGGATGAATCTATCCATATCCTTTATTGTTGTTGCTCTTTTCTGAAACTTTTCCAGTTTTAATGTATCTTATTTGAGCTGGGGAGACCAATATTGCACACTGTAGTCAAGGTATGGTTGTACTATGGATTTATACACTGGAATTATGATATTTTATACATTATTATCTATTGCTTTCATAAGGGTTTATAACATTCTGTTAGCTTTTTTTACTGCCACTGCATATTAAGTAGATGCATTCAAAAAACTGTCCACAGTAACTCCAAGATCTCTTTCTTGAGCGGTAATAGCTAGTTTAGATACCATATTTTTGTAGGTACAGTTGGAATTATGTTTTCCAGTGTGTGAATTACTTTGCTCTTATCACCGTTGAATTTCAATTGCCATCTTTTTGCCCAGTCACCCAGTTTTTATAATTCTATTGAGTTAGCGTTGGACTTAAATATCTTAAGTAATTTTGTATCATCTTCCAATTTTGCCGTTTCTGGCTAAATTTTCATAAGGTCTCCAAGTGATTTAGGATCCTAAACAGTTTTTATTGATTTTCAGTGAATTGTGCTGAGTTATACCATCTGAGTACCTGATTTTTAATCACTGTAAAATGGGTGGTGATAATACTTTCCTACTCCCAAATGGTTATTAGGTTAAAAATCATTAATGTTTGTGAGATACTCATATTGTGGTCATTAGTATCAGAAAAAACCCTGTAAACAGTATATAAATATCAAAGGGTGTAAAGATTAAGGCTTGAGAAAAAATACTGAAAGTGATGCACAGTATTATAACTAAGAGTGATGGGATGAAATTTAGAAAGGGAAAATACAGGCAGAATCTCACACAAACCTCCTGACAGTAAGATCTATCCATCAACCAGCAGAATAGCCCAAAGTGCCTTCAGCAAATATATTATGCTCTCAATGGACTATGAATGCCTTCCAATGAAGTGGCTGTTATGAGAACCTGAGTGCATTTCTTCTTTCTGCATCTAACTTGACAAAGAACTCAGTCACTTACAGGTGTCTATAACTGGAAGTGTGACATTTCTGAGAGAGGTGGAAAAGTCATTATTTTTATTTTGAAAGCTAATTACAAAGTTGCTTTGCACTTTTAAAACATTGTATTAAATCTAATTAGAGAACTCTATAATTTCTCTTAATATCTTAAAACTTTAAAAGTTATAATAATATAATTACATAAAATTAAAAAGCCACAAACACAATAAATTATTTTCTTTATAACTTCTGATGCTATTGCTGAACAGTTAACACTGAAACTAACTTCTCACAGGACCAAATTTTGATCCCTCTATGTAAGTGTACATTCAGAAAAATTCCACCTGAAATAACTCAAATTCCTATTTCTTCCTGATCTCAAATAGTCAGTGGTTGGCTAATGCTCTTAAGTATGAGAGTCTGTATGTGATATAAATGTTTATTGCATATGGGAGCAATTACTCAGGCAAACTTCCACTGAACTCAGTGATTATCATTCACTTTTTGTTCAGTATTTTCTCAGGCAATGTCTCAAATTGCATGGAATTAAGGCAGAAACATTCCCTGTGAGTAGGTAGTTTTATCACTGTCTACTTCAGAACTTCTTTGAAGCACTGAAACAGTTGGCAGCGGCCCACATGCGGCCTATTGGGGTTCCAGCTGAGGTCCGCACATACTGTCTGCCCACTTTCCCTATGCTCCTCTTGTGCACTGGCACACTGAAGTGCCGCACTTCCTATTCCTTCCCCTCCCTACTGGCACTTTCAGAGAGCCATGAATCTACTAATTCACACTCCTACCTTGCTTCTCCTCTTCGCTCCCAGAGCTTGAATACCACGAATCAGCTGTTTGTGACTATTCAAGCTCTGGGAGGGAGGAGGAGGAATTGCAGGGCTCCAGTTTGCCAGAGGTGTGGGTGAAAGGGGAAGAGAGGGTATGCACGAGCTGTAAGTGGAATTTGCAGCCCACTGCGACTAAGGAGGACCACTCATGCAGCCCACTTGCTAGTCTTGGTTGCCCATTGCTGATCTCGTCCTTGCTACTGCAGCAGGCAGCATATGTTAGGCTAGATAGACTAATCCAATATGGCAGTTCCTGCGATTTAGTTCCAGGATGTTAGTTTGATGGTATTTTTTCCTTTAACTACTTAACATTATTTAATTGCTAGAAAATGTAGAATTCTCTTTTTGTTTTCTTTGTGGTTTTACTTAGAGTGAAAACTTTTTGGGGCACAGACTCTATTAGTACAGCACTTAGCACAGTAGGGTCTACTATTAATTTTGAAGCAGGAAATAACCATTAACATGAATGAATATGAAGGGCACATTTAGAAAAGCAGAAGCACCTGTAAGCTCTATGTTTAACACATACATGCTCATGTTTAGGCACATCTGTGGGCCTGATTTGGAGAGGCACTGAAGTATGCACTTAAAGTTAAGGAGGTGCTGAAATCCCATTGATTTCAACAGATCTTAAGAATAAGTATAAAGCTAATCCTGTGGGTACGTGCTGTCATGAAAAGGGATACTTTTCTGAATGAGGGCCCGTAGAGGCAACTGCCATAATGATGCATGGAAGTTGAAGTAACTACAAGTACAAATGGATAGCTGGACACCTTACTGCCATTTCGCCTGGGCAATCTATAATAATACTTAGCTCTTTTCTGATTCTTTCTATCTGTACTCTCAATTAGCCTTACAAATGAAGTCAGTATCATTACTCCCATTTTACAGATGTAAAATTGCCTTCAATCACAGAGATACCCGTATGCAAGTTTTTCAGGTGAACCTCTGCCTCCCTGCTTTAAAGCCTTGGTCCCCTGAAGTTTCAAGGTTAAGTCTGAACAGTCCACCAGGATTGTTGCATGGTTTAAAAATCTACATTCCTGTCCTCTGGGCTCATTGCTTTATGCATTCAAGCAAAGACATACCTGACAGTGAAAAACTGATCAGTCTCCGACTTCCTTGACCCTGGACTGGATCTTCATTGACGATGCTTTTAAAAATCTGCTGGAAGAAGGAAAACAGTGAGAGATAGCTGTATGCAGTGAGTTTTCAACAGAGAACCAGTTTAGTAACTGTAATTCCTGTAATTGTCATCAATTCAGAATCAATTACATACTTTCATTAGGCATTTATTGATCAAAAAAATTTTACCAGTAAAGAAACCAGACGCAAGGAAGCTTCTTTTCACGGAAATAAAAACTGTGCAAGAAATTACTGTAAATTTATAAATGTTTTGTGTTAATAAAAAGTGCTTCCTCAGTGGAATGTGTGTAAACAGTACTGATTATTAAACAAAAAAATGAACGCAGCCCATAAGGAGGGGTATATTGTCCCTAACTCTAACAGTAAACTCTGGTCTCAACAAAATGAAATATAATACCCTGTAGTTCAGTTATTCTAGTGACTGTCCAGCTGATTTCCAGGACCCTGCATTTAATTTACAAGCTATATAAAACATGAATACGGGAACAACTGTGAAATTCTGTGGTGACAAATGTAAAGGGCATGTCTGAAGAAGTAAGTGCATATGAAGTTACGCAATTGTGTTGTATGGGTTATCACTAAGACATGCTGCATATTGGGGAGTCATCCAGTCAGATATTAGCTCGCTAGAGACAACAGCAAGGAAAGTAACCAACATAAGGCATGGTTTCAAACCACCAGCAACGGCCTTCGACCAGCAAAGGAGCTACAATTCAATGACTCACCTGCTTAAGGCCAAACTAGCAGAACTGCTCAACCTTGCCTGGGGACTTGTATGTCTCCAAGCACATAGGACTGAGCATACAAAACAGAACATAGGCCCCATACTTGGCCTTCTTCCTGCTCTCCACCTATGCTGCAAGCAACAAGGACAATGAGATGACTGAAAAGACTCCAGAGATTAGCCCAGGTTTCAGGGATAAACCTGTATATGAAGGACTGCAATATCTAGTAGGGTGAGAAGAAACTAGTTGTTTCCCATTCTAATAGGGTTGAGAGTTTAGACTGCGTGCTTGTATTTTATTTCTTTTGGTAACTAACTCTGACTTTTTGACTATCACTTATAGTCACTGAAAATCTATCTTTTGAAGTTAATACTTGTTTTACTGTTTCTCCTTACTAGTGAGTTTGCTTAAGTGTTTGGGATTTGCTTAGGTTTTACAAAGGCTGGTGTGTGCATCTTGAGCAGTGCAAGACTGTGATTTTCAAGGTTCATTGTTGGAAAGATCTGGCTGGTGCCTTTCTCTGTGATTCACGAGTGATTCTAGGAGAATTCACGCTCTCTAGCCAAGTATGGGCCTCTATACACTGTTGTGCTGAGTATAATGAGGCACTGGAGGAGTTTGCTGCTTGTCACTAGTAAAACATTGTTAGAGACAGCCTAGGTTGGCAGAGTGGTCCCACAGTCCCATGATGCACTTTGGGGAACCCAATCACAATAGGTTACATTGATTTTGGAAGGTGCTTTTTTTCTTATCAAATGTCATGTGGTATTAAGACTTCTTTGATGCTTTTGACAAAGGGTATGTCTAGACTACATGGCTCTGTTGATGGAGCCATGTAGATGAGTTTACTAGACATAGCAAATTGAAGTGGCGATTAAAGCTACTGCCTCCCAAAGAGGAAGCTTTGCCGACAGCCCATAACTGTAAGACAGAACAAAGCCATTTAAGAAATCTACAAAACTGTTCCTTGCATTTACTGTCATAAAGAAAAGTCAATCTCTGTCGATGTGTTAGAATGTGCTACATGGCTGGTAATTTAAACACACATGGACAAATTAAGACCCATTTCTCAGGCAGTCTCTGCTGCCAGTGGGGTGTCCAGTCTCATAGTTTTGTAGAACTGCCCAGAGTTCAGTTCAGACCTTCTCTCAACACTATTGCTTACTTAAGGGCTCTATGACCATTTTGGCAGGTCTCTCCCACAGTCATTACTGCAGTAGAGTGAGCATCTATTTCCTTCCTGGGGGTCTCCGGGTCCAAAAAGCAGTTTAGCAAAGCTGTCCTGCAGTCATACATAATCTGCTTGTGAGTGAGTCAGCAGAAGCAGAATACACTAGATTACTCAAAGAACAGCAAATAGTTTCCCTCCAGTAATTGTGGTTCTTTCAGATGTTCATGAACATCTATTCCACAACCTGCCCTCTTTCCTCACTACTGCCAAGCCCTTGGTAATAGACATTCTGTCTTAGCAAGAGACTTAGGCTACGTCTACACTGGCACCCTTTTCCAGAAATGCTTAAAACAGAACAGTTTTCCATTATAAGTATTTCCGGAAAAAGCACGTCTACATTAGCAGGATGCTTTTCCGGAAAAGCACTTTTTCCGGAAAAGCGTCTGTGGCCAATGTCGACGCGCTTTTCCAGAAAAGACTACTGGGCTGTCTACACTGGCCCTTTTCCGGAACAGTCTTCTGGAATAAGGACTTATGCCCGAGCGGGAGCAGAATAGTTTTTCCGGAATAGTGGCTGGTTTTGTTCAGTAGAGCATCGTTGCTTTTCTGGATATTCAAGGGCCAGTGTAGACAGCTCGCAGCTTATTCCAGAAAAGCGGCTGATTTTCCGGAATAAGTGGCCCAGTGTAGATACAGCCTAAGTGTATTAGGACAACAGAGTTACCTTTATCAACCAAACATATAATCTCATGAAAATGATATCAAGTTTGACAATTTTCATAAAACCATTTTGATTTGCATTAATTATGACACCTTCCTTCAATTTTTCACTCAGTGCTGCCCTTAAAAGTCTTCCCAGGAGCAGTGTCCAATGAAGCAACCAATAGTTATCTGGTTTACCCTCAAATATTGGCACAATATTTGGCTCTTCTCTCCCAAACATCTGGAACTTCCCAAATGTTCCAAGATTTGTTAAAAATTAACATTAATGATTCAGAGAACTCCTCCACAAACTCTTTGAATATTATTGTGTGCAGGCAATGTAGTCCCACAGACTCTTAAAAAGTTTAATTTTATTAGTTGCTGTTTAACATCCTCTCTAGTTGCCGATGGAATAGAAGATATTTCATTATTTCTGTGAAATATGATTACATCATCCTGCTTTTTTCTACACACAGAACAGAAATATTTAATGAATGTTTCTGCCATCTCTGCATCTTGATAGACATTTTTATCATCCTTATCTAATATTGCACCTGTACTGTGTTAGGATTTTGTTTGTTCCTGATATATTTAAATATTTCCTTCTGATAGCCCATAATCTTTCTGGATATAGATGTGTCACTAATGGCTTCGGCTTCCTTCATCAATTGTCCACATTTGCTAAGTACTGGCTTTTACTCATTGCGATCAACTTCCCCATTCACTAGGGCTGTGTCTACACTGGCCCCTTCTTCGGAATAGCCATGTTAATTTAGAACTTTGGAATAGGGAAATGCACGGGGGATTTAAATATCCCCCGCGGGATTTAAATAAACATGGCCGCCCCTTTCTTTCCGGCTTGGGGAAAAGCCGGAAAAGAGCGTCCAGACTGGCGCGATCCTCCGGAATAAAGCCCTATTCCGGAGGATCTCTTATTCCTACTTTCAAGGGAAATAAAGCCCTATTCCGGAGGATCTCTTATTCCTACTTCCAAAGGGAAATGCGCGGGGGATTTAAATATCCCCCGCGGGATTTAAATAAACATGGCCGCCCCTTTCTTTCCGGCTTGGGGAAAAGCCGGAAAAGAGCGTCCAGACTGGCGCGATCCTCCGGAATAAAGCCCTATTCAAGTAGGAATAAGAGATCCTTCGGAATAGGGCTTTATTCTGGAGGATCGCGCCAGTCTGGACGCTCTTTTCCGGCTTTTCCCCAAGCCGGAAAAAAAGGGGCGGGCCTGGT